ATTTAGATATAAACTGCAAATTGGGACCTGGGAAAAAGACTTATAAATTTTTTAAGCAATAAATTTTTGTTTAGATTATGTATAAAAATGAATTTTTTCTTGGATCTGATGAGTGGAGGTGATATATATATAGCAAATAATCTTTAATTAACTACAATAACAAGAAGGAAACGTTAACAGATAATGTTTAATGGGATCTACATGTGCTGGCAGTAGGGGGGGGGGAATTCTTAGATATTTTATTAATTGATTTCTTTGTTAGAATATGTCATAAAGAGTAATATTACAAGAGGTTTATTGAAATTGCTAATAAATGCCAGTGGGTAGGTTTTTTTTTTTTAAATACAAAGGGTTTCAGATAAAAAGCACGTTTAAATAATTTTAGTTGAATGAGAATTGTGGTACATTGATAGTAGTAAAATATATGAAGATTTCAGATGTAAATTGTGCAAGGAAGTATATGTAATGATTGTGGTAGAAATGCATGAAAACTATTTGTAACCAATCGACATGCTTTCTACAAGATGCAATGAAAGATGATTCTTTTTTTTTGTTGTTCAATTAAAACAATAAAAAACTTTTTCTAAAAAAAAAAAGTTCTAGGTAAGGCTTTTCTTGGTTTTTAAAAACATATCTTACTCCTTTTATAGTCAAGTTTTCCGTCGACTACTGCATTAAAATCTCCTATGAGACGGATATTTTCATACTCGGTTTCAAGAATCTCCTTGGGAAGCTTTTTATAAATTCTTCCCGTCACGACCGTCATAAGTGTGAGTTGCCAAGCATTCAAGATTTGATCAGGTGACCATGGAGATGCTGAGACAATCATTAAGTGCGGGGAAAAAAATATAAATTATTTTTTCCCAGTGCCGTTGTAACTTTGGTCAGTCGAGGGTTACCTGCGCGCTTATTTTTAACGTTATAACATTTTATTTGTACATCCTAGGAAGGAATGGGCGGTTTCTAAATTTAATAAATAAATAGCTTTATTTTCCCCATCTGGCCACGCAGAGAAATCATAAGAATAATGCCATAGGGGTGGATACGAAGTACACAAAAACGAATAAGAAGTATCTCTCTATAAACAGATTAACAGAGTTGGAAGGGACCCTGTAGGTCATCTAGTCCAACCCTCCCCACCCCTGAGCAGGAGACCCTACACACAATCTCAAATCTGGTTCTGGATTTTACATCCAAACATTTCCTTCCCTCTTTCACTTTTTGGGATCCCAATTCCTTTTTTATTCCTCCCGTACGTCCCGCCTTTGCTCAATCGTAAATGGCGCTGAATGTTGTGTTTTAAACCTACCTTGTACACAGGATCGCAGTCCGGTCCGGTCAGCTCAAGAACGTGATCGAGATCCTGCTTCATAATAAAACAAGTCCCGTCACCTGCAAACGGGCAAGCATTTAAATTTTGGCCTTTCGATTCTTGCAATGCTGATTGTTTTGATACTTATATTTCTATTTTTGTTAAGCCTCTCGAAGTCACTTGGGATAGTGAGATTGGAAACAATATAAATGTAATAAAGGACCCTCTTTCCCCAGTTCTATCCACCCGACCAACCAGAGCAGGAAGGCAGGGGAGGTTAGGAATCCCCTCTTTTTCAGGGGAGGTCCATATCAGCTGTGGGGCGCAGTGGTTAGAGGGCAGGATGTTTCTGCTCCCTGCAATTTGACAGTTCAAATCTCACCAGGCTCACGGTTGATTCAGCCTTCCGTCCTTCCGAGGTGGGTCAAATGAGGACCCAGATTGTTGGGGGCAAGAGGCTGTAAACTGCTCAGAGAGGGCTGAAAGCACCGTGAAGCGGTATATAAGTCTAAGTGCTATTGCTATTGTCCTCTCCCCCTCCCTTCCTCCCTCCCTCCCTCTCTCCCTTCCCTTCTTCCTTCCTTCCTCCCTTCCTTCCGAGGTGGGTCAAATGAGGACCCAGATTGTTGGGGGCAAGAGGCTGGCTCTGTAAACTGCTCAGAGAGGGCTGAGAAGCACTGTGAAGCGGTATATAAGTCTAAGTGCTATTGCTATTGCCCTCTCCCCCTCTCTCCCTCCCTCCCTTCCTTCCTTCCTCCCTCCCTCCCTTCCTTCCGAGGTGGGTCAAATGAGGACCCAGATTGTTGGGGGCAAGAGGCTGACTCTGTAAACCTCTTAGAGAGGGCTGCAAAAGCACTGTAAAGCTGTATACACCGTATTTTTCGGACTATAAGACGCACCAGAGTATAAGACGCACCAAAATTTTGAAGAGGTAAATTTAAAAAAAAAGGGTGTGTGTGTGAAAAACTGGGCATGCCGAGAGTTTGAGAGGCCTTTAGAGTGTTCCTGGGGGCTGGGGAGGGCAAAAACACCGCCAGGAAGCCCATTTTCACTCATTTCTGCCCTCCCCAGTCCCCAAGAACACTTTGCAGGCCTCCCAAACCCTCTGCGTGTCCATTTTTGTGAAAAACGGGATGTGCGGGGGCTGGGGTTTTGGTAGGACATAAATGCTGTCTTCAATGTATAAGATGCATCCGAGAGNAAAAAAATTCATATAAGATATATTTGTCCAAGTATGATGAAGCTTCTATAAATGAATGAATTGTGTATGGGTATGAAGCAGGCAACTCAATCTTTATTGATAAACAAAACCAATTAGCCATTTATGCTTTGGCATTATAAGTTTGCTCTATCGGTTTGTTCTTTCCAAATGATTCTTTGATTTAGTTTTCTGCAGAAAAAGAAAATACAGTGAAGGGGAATTAAATTACAGAAAAGTTAGTAAATCTTCACAAGTATTCCTTACTTAATAAAAGGCATGCAACATATTTTATGATTTCCGCATTCATTCAACAAAGCTGTGGTGTTTGTAATTGGGTATATAAAGCCATTCATCTCCTCATGCTGTCTTTTAGCTGAGTGAGCCCCAAAGCATTGTCCATTCTGTTACTGCTGTTGAGATCTGATCAGCATCTTTATAGTTTATCAGCCTTGGGGTTCAATTTTGTTTTGGATGCTTTTATAAATGAGCACAATCACTGGTGATTCTGTTCTTCCCAGATTGCAAAGAGAAAAATTGTGTGAAGAACTTTAGTAGATTACCATGTCACTGAGGATGAAGTACAAGCACAAGGCATCAAAAGTCATTTTGGAGATTATTCTAGAAGATGTACATTTTCAGCTTTTATTTCACTAAAATTAGATGATTGCCTTAGTTATTATTGTTTCTGAAGCTATATTCTATCCTCGGGCTAGGTGTATGATCAATGCGCTATCCAGAAAAATCAATTGTTTCCAAAGCACCATTTATTTAAGAAATAGAAGAGGAGAAAATGGGAACCATATATAGGAATATGAAGTTGATATGTTTGCTTGTTTTGTTTTTTAATCTTGTTAGGAATAGACTTGTATAGTAAAGTCTTTTAAGAAGCAACAGAATCGTAATTAATTATTTGTTGTCACCATGCAAAGGGGCTCAGGAAGTGATAGAATGAGATCTATCGGCAGATTAAGTCTGTGCAGAATTTAAGATTGAAACATCCCCCCCAAAAAAAGTGTTTTACATAGAACTTGCCTGCAGCTCTTTAAAACAGTGGTCCCCAACCCCCGGTCCGCGGACCGG